TCCAACTAGATTCTGCACTGCTGATCACCACGCTCTGAGCTCTGCCATCCAGCCAGTTGCTATCTTGTATACTTGCTATCAATCTTATAGGTGCTTGCAGAGGGTTTTAACTACCCAACTTACATAGCTGATTCAGCGAGTGTTTATGGCATCCAAAATCAGCACAGAGCCTGTACGAGTATTCCTTAATCCCACAGGCAAAAGATCTGCATCCTCTTTCCCCTGACACTGAGAATCGGAATCGTGGACTGTAAAAACATCCAAGCTTATTTTTTCCTCCAAACACTCAGTTTCAATTAGAAGCTTCTGTACTTTCCCTGAACATTTAATTAATTTCAAATTACTAAATTCTCAGTGCAGACATTCGCACTTTGCTGAGTGCCGAGGGTCTGGTCCAAAGGGAAGGGGCACCGTGCCCTGCACGTCACCTCAGGGCTCTGGGGCGGCGGCGCTGCGAGCTCCGAGGGGGCTGCAGCCTCTGCCTCCCTCCCCAGGGCGCTTCACAAACGGCTTCCGAAGGGCTCCCCGCAGCGACTCCGCCAGAGCAGGGGAGAGGAGCCAGGGCGCTGCGCCCAGCCGGCGGGTGAGGAGGAGGACGGGCCGGCTGCTCCAAACCCCCCGAGGCAGCGCCACAGGGCACCTCAGGCACATGCGCCCCCACGGCTGCCTCACGCCGAGGCAGTCACGCAACCCCACAAATCAATGCGCTCCAGACTTCAGAGTGGGCCATCAGTTTATGAAGAGATACAGAGAAAAGACGAGAAAAATACAGTGTGCATTTAGAGCAGAGTCTCACACGTCATGTGTCTGGGTAGGGGAGGAGAGAGGAGACTGACATCAAGCAACTCGTCACAAGTCATCTGTCAGGGGAGGGAAAGGGCCCCTGTACAGCTGTGAAAACGGGAAGAGCTCTGCACCCTGGAGCTTTCTGGTAAATTTGACACCAAGCAACTCAGAAAAATTTCTAGAGCCTTTAAGCTACAAAAAGCAAACTTTTAAATGAGTTACATTTATTCAGTTAAAAAATTGACAGGTAGTAATGGTCATATGAACACCAGGGAACCATATCTACATCTCCTGACGTCAATGAGTGGCATTTTTTTTTTTAAAACGTATACAACTCTAATGCCATTTAAAAAATACAAAACAAAACTGAAACTCAAGACACTGTGAAATCAACACTGCTTAAAAACTCCAAGTTCAGTCTCATATATTCTTAAAATAAATACTTTTCACCTTTCTTGTTTTTAAAAAAAATAACCCACCATCTGCTTTCAAAGCAGTAACATCTTTAAGACCATTCCCAAAAGTGTTTCATAAATAATTTCCCATTGATTGTCTATTAGTGCAGCATCTCTCAGGCTTAGCCAGGGTCTCTAACATTAGGCCATACAGACACAGTGTTTTGTTTTGTGTTTCCCCTCCTGCCTCCTTTTTATTTAGGTACAATTTCTTTGAATATAGCATTTTATACTGGCAAAATTCATGCAGATGACATGGCATGAAACATGGCAGAACCTAAAATTGCCTGTTTAAGAAAAAAGAAAAATAAGAGAAAGAGAGAAGGAATGTAGTGTTAAAAATCATGATATTGAACAAGCAACTACCCAGCTCATGGCCAACCAAGACAATTTCAAACATTCTCACAGTTGTCTCAACTACTATGATTTGTTTAAATATGTCTTTTTTTTATCCAAATTTACTTCAATTTCTTTTCAACTTTTTCCACCAGGGATATGTAAAAAAATAAAAAATATTAAAACTAGTCTTTTTTCTTTCCCTTTTAATCAAAATAACCATTTTTGCAACGCTCTGACTGTACATCATTTTAATAATTTCAAATAGAGAAAATTACAACTCTGACATGTTTGACATCTCCCGATGCCGAGACATTTAAAACACTCATAACAATACCTAGGTTAAATCTCCAAAAATATAAACAGTTCTTGAATCGACTTCAACACTCAGAAAGGCCACATCTGTAAACCTCCGGTACATTCTCACACAAATAATAACCCTAAGCAGCACTTAGGATTTGAACAGGCAAACGAGCCTCTCTCAGGCAACGGTGCAACTTAAGAGAGTCTCCTCCAAAGGAAGCCGCTCTCCTCAGGCCTTTCCCCTTAGCCATATGAAAACACAAAGCCAACCAGGTTTAGAAGCCTTTAATCTTGCACTTCGAGCCTCAAGCGATCAACCGTATTAAAGAAACATTTTCCAGAAATGTCTCCTTTGATAGTTTTATGCATGTTATGCCTTGACACCCACCCCTCTTTTTAACAGTTTCATTGACTAAAGAAATAAACGGTTTTCAAATAGTCTTTTCAGTAAAGTGCTTGTTATTACTCAAAAAAAAAAAAAAAGGAAAAGAAAGTGCTATTTGATTCTTTAGAGAATTTCTGTGACAAAAATGCCTGATAGATCTTTATTTATTTTTATACATAAAGCTGTAACGAGACCCTATGTGTCATAAGGATGTCGGGTTTCTGATTTTGGTGTTTGGCAGCAGGCGCGATGCCCACAGGTGGTGGAGACGCACGGGGACCGTAGTGCACAAGCTAAACCCTCTCGGTGAAATGGAAGGCATATGCAGAGCTCCTACTAGAATCCTTTCATATTTACATACAAATATAATATATATTAAATATAATATAAAAATAGCTATACTCTTTTTCTCTGAAATTCTCCTAGAAGTTTTTCTCCAAATCCTCCCTCCTCCCAGGCCGTTTCTGCCTCCTCACGGCGGGCGCGCCCCCCCGCGCGCCCGCACACAGTTTTTTCCGCCTCTCCCTTCCCCGGCGCTCACTCGCCGCCCCGCGAGCAGCTCCGCAGCCGCAATGCCGGAGCTGGGCAGGGGCAAAAGGCTGCTCCGAAAGAGGAAGGTGCCCAGGTGTCTTCCCACAAAAAAAAATCAAGGACAGGTTAGCAACTGACTGGCAGTGGAATCCCTCCGGATAAAACTTTTAGCCAACAAGGCATGTGCATCCTTGCAGGGAATCCGGGTGAGGGCCTACGCGCTCAGTTCTCATTCTGTTTCTTAATCGAGTTTTTCCCTGATTCCTGGCAGGAATGTTCCCAACGCACGCTCTGTTGTTCCAGTTTCCCTGTACTCCCCCATGCTCTACACTCTGTCAGCCGGCAGGTTTACAACCAGCGGACAGACCCTGCCTGAGGCAGCGCCACGCCCCGAGCGGCCGCCTGCGCCGTCACCCGCGCGTCCCCTCACCCAGCTGAGCCTCGCGGCCCCGGAGCGCGGCGGCGGGCGGGCAGGGAGAGCCGCTTCGGGCGGCGCTGCAGGTACAACGCTGCATTACTCAACTGTATGGCTGCTAGCTTTTTTTTTTTTCTCCTGCCTTTTTTTCCACAATTCTCATGTAATAGCTTATTCAACCTATTTTACCACTATTCCAACAGTTCTGAAAGCACTGTTAAACCTCTCCCAGTTTTCTTCTTTAGTACTAGATTATTACTGTAATCATCTAGAAGTTCTACCTAACCTGTTTTTTTATCAAGCAAAGGTACTGCTAGCACAGACCCCTAGTTAATGCAGCCCAATTCAGACACAGGTGGAATGGAGGGATAGGCAAAGTAGAGCAAGGCAAGATTTCTTCAGGTAAGACTTCACGGAAATGGGTTTCCGACAATTACTCCTGCTCAGAACATGCCAGAAATCTCTTTAAAGAACTGGGATTTTTCCTTGCTATGTTTGGTATTGGCAACTCGTTCTTGCTCTAGATTTTCTTTGGTTCTCTATTTCTCACGCTCTCCTTCCTTGTTCACTACTGGGCTTTTTGGTGCCAAACTGTTGCTTTACAGCTGGGGAATAACCAAGGTCTAGGAGGGACAAGGGCAGCAGCCAAGCAGGGCCTGGAAGGAAACCACCCTCACCAGGCACTTGCTCAGCTCCTGTTACCTTCCTGGGGGTTTGGTTCATCCTATAATACAATCAATCTGTTCCACAATATAAAATATTCCATTGCCACTTGATTACATTCATTCAACTTCTCCTCAGTATTCAAGATCAATCCAGCTTTCTCTCTCTAGTACTAATTTCAACTTTTTTTTCCTCAATTACCAGATTTACCTTTATTTATTCATTTTCCTCTGAAGCTGTCCTTTTCATAAATTAGTACCATAAAATTCTACTTAACATTTACCTAAAATAGCACATCTTATCTGTTGGATCTTTTTATTATCTTTATAAAGTGAAGTTACCTTCTGAAGTCTTAGTTCAGTGATATCTCTTAAATCAATAGCCTGGTAGTGTTAAGTGCAATCATGATCTCCCCCAACATAAAATTTAAACACAAAAAAAAAACAAAAACTTTTTTTTTTTTATAAAATCAGATTACTATTCCTACTCCTACAAAAGGAGTAATGTCTATTTAAGATCTACTAAAAGATCTATCCCCCAAGGTCCAAAGATCTGAGGGACCATTTTGTTCCAGATTAGTGTTTGAGGGGGAGGGCCACTCAAAAATGCTCAGGATCTCAGCTCAGACCATTACTAAAACAAACACAATAGAGAAATCGCTATGAAGCAGATACACGAGTTAGCTTGACAATGTACTAAGACTTCAAAATTGAAAATGGTCACAGATTCCAGACATTTGTAATTCAAGATGTTCAACATTATCACCTGAATTAAAATCAAGGCACTATGGGGTTTTATTTTGTTGTTAAAATGACCCTGAATCAGTTCCGACTAAAGAAAGGTCTAATTTTTGAAGGAGAATAAAAAGATTCCAACATATTTTAACAAGTTACAATTCTCACCACAGATAAAGTGGTTAAAAAGTGCCCAAAAGGTTATTAAATGTAAAGATACTCTTGTGCAAATTACTCCTATAACTGAAACATTCTTGAAAATTACTTGTCATTTTTTTAAACCTTTTACATAAATATTTCCAACTATGAACTATATCAAAAGATAGCTTTGGGGAGTAAAATTCCAAACCATCCGCAGGAAAGCAGTGCAAATTCCTATTTTCCAAATAAAATGATGAATCGATTATGAAGTGATTGATGATATTCACGAATCTGAACGTCCTGAACCCTGACGCGTGATCACCAGTTCAAGCAGCTTCATCAATAACTTAACCTCGCCAAGTCACCTAACGGACACACTGCACCTCACCCAACAACCGCGACGCCACACGCAAAGCACAAACAGGAGACTTGTGCCCACACTACAGGTGAAGGTAACGATGCACCGTGTTGTAAACGCAGGGCTAGAACAGAGGAAAACATTAGTCCGAGTATGGCGTGAGAATTTAGGGGAACAGATTCAAACCTACAAATAACAGATTACGTTTTCATGCATCATATAAAATATTTCGCTCTTTCTCCTTTTATGCAGACATATACACAATATTTTACAGCATCTGTACAACAGAGAACTGGATTTCACACAACATTTTGAAAAAATTTACTGTCCCATGGTTATCTGAAAAAAAAAAAAAAAAAAAGATTTTTTTTTTAAAATATTCCTGGCATTGTCAGCTAATTCAAACAAGTGCTCCGTGTCCATTTTAACACTTTAAAAATGTACAGGACTGATAAAAAATACCAACATCTTCAGCATCCCTCCCATTTCAGTCATGTCTTGAGATTTCACCTGAATGAATTAGCACGTGGCAGCACATCCTGTCGAGCACAGGAGTGGGGCCGCCGCTCGGAGCTGGCTGTGTCCCCTTGGCTTGTGGCTTTTCCTTAGCGGATCCCAGGAGTTGGAGCAGCTCCACAGCGCGGTGTTGAGAAGCCTTCGCACTTGTCGCTTCGCAGCCTCAGTGCGAGCGCTCAGGGACAGCAGCCCCGCCTGGGCGTTCGCTTCGGAAGGGAGCGGAGCCCCTGCTACTGCGGTGGCACTTTGGAAGGATCCGGGATCTTGTCAGTTCTGTGCCGGGAAAGCTGCTGCTGCTGCTGGGACTGGTGCTGCTGGTGGTGGGACTGTGTGAAAGTGCTCTGTTGTAGTGGGAAAGCAGCAGAGAGGATGAGCTGAGCTGACTGGTTTCCATGAAGCAACCTGGATGTCTAGAGCATGCAAACAGAAAGGGATTATTTATCCTGGGAAACACAGGCCTGGCTGCTTCCTAACTGTGTTTAGTGCCACAAACACAAACTTCTGCTCTGGTCACTCAATCAAACAATGAAAAGTTTAACTCATACTAATAGAGCTGATCAGAGAAAACAGTATTTTGGACATCTAACCAGTTGGTTTTGGTTATTTTTAGTGACAATGGGCAGGAACACATGGCAGCTTTATCTCCATTTAAAATCTCAAGAACCTAACTGGGCTTAGGGAATCAGATCTAACATGCCCAAGGGGGCTGTCACTGCACTCAAATGGAAAAGCCGTGTACAACTATCCTCCAAAGCCAAGGTCAACAATTAAAGAAAATCTGCCACATTTGCAGACTCAAACCACCATTCTGAAAGCAATTAAATATTATTCTCAGTAATACTTATTCTTAATTTTAAATTTTAATACTTTTGCAATTAAAAGAGATATAGACACCACCTACCTCTAATTAGCCTGCTTATTACAGTATGTATGTGAGAGATCATGTTCAGTTCTGTGCTCTGGTTCAACTCAGCATAAAGGGGCCCAAACACAAATCCAAGGGAAACACCTGCCCCTTTGCCTAGTGCTCAGCAAAGGGCAACACTGGAAGCAGAAAAATGGGGAGGACAGAGAGGAGCTATGGGAAGGGCTACCTCACTCCAAACGCAGGAGGATTTTCCAGAACATCTATAAGTTTATCTTATATCAGGCTCATTCCGTGTTTTCTGACGAAGCGCCGTGTTTTGAGCGCCGCGTTTTCCGACGAAGCGCCCCTAGGACACGGTGGCGATGCTGGGAGCATTGGGAGCGTCGGCGCTGTGGAAAGCGCCTGGGGAAGGCGGCCTTACCTGCAGGAACTGCTGGGGGTGCTGGCTCAGCTGCGGCGGGGCCGGCTGCTGGGCTGCGGCGAGCGGCGCCTCCGGCTGAGGCGGCGCCTGAGGCGGCGCCGGTGGCTGCGTCACCGAC